AATTTTTGATGCAAAAATGTCAAATCTAAAAATCTTCGCGTGATTGTAATTCATTTCCACTTTTCAACATATTTGTGGACTTAGATAACTGACATTTATGGTTGGCGCTGAAACAGCCCACCTGAGGAGCACTCATGGTACCAGAATGTAAACAAACATGGATAACATCTGTGTTTCTAACTTTTAAACCCACTCATAAGGCGTCATAGTTTGGCACCTCTACCTCTCGAATGGTATTTAAATGTGACGGAGTAGGGTTGATTCAACTTACTTTGTAAATAGATGACTTTTGTATTGTCCCAGTGTTACATAATGCAGCTTTAATAAGATGGCGTGATCATCTTTTATGTGAGTGATGATGTGTTTTTTGGTCATTGTTGATGGAGGTATTTGTTACAGTGAGTGAGCCAGTCATACGTTTCTCACGAGAATGTAATAAACACGCTTTGAGACATTCAACCCAAAATTTTTTTTCTATTCCACGCAATTATGTGCGTTTTATCGGTCTTTGTGGCTTCCCTAGGTTCTACGTATTGCAAGTTCTTTGTCATTTTATTGTATTATTGTATTCAGGGTCATCTTGTATAAGCACGCTACGCTCACACGTTAATCACTTGGTTTGTAGAAAAGAGCATCAATAAACATGTCTTCAAATCATGACCTCATTTGCATAAATTTTGAGGAAGTGCTAGAATAGCCTTTTTTTGTTAAGATAAGGCTGTTATTATCTGAATATGATCAACCGATATAGTCCAGGATGGAAATGAGGATCTTATTTTCATAATCGATGAGAAAAATGTATCTTTTGGTCAGTCGGAATTTGTTTGTCCGTTTATGAGCAGCATAACTCAATAAGGTTTTTACACATCATGCTATCATCACGATATAGTACCAAATCCCTTGTGGCTGTTGCCCTCTGTTCGTGTTAAGACATGGGTGGTAGCACAGTGGGGTGGTAGAAGACGGGGCCTTAGGCCGAGACCCGAACAGTAGCAAAGCGGTATGCGCGGATGTCACCCTGGGCAGTAGGTTTTTCAAATGTTCTCTGGAAAGGGATGTCCCTGTCGCCAAGGTTGTATAACACAGCATTTATGGTCAAAAGAAGTCCGGGCACAAAGTAGTGTCGCACAGTACTTAAGAAAGCTGCTGAAATTCTTTCGTGCAGGATGGTGAGGTAACTACTGCTGGTCATTTTATGTTCGAATCACTGTGTGTTCGAATGAAGGTATTATATATGGGTATAATCATGTACAACACATTTGAGCCGACCACATATACGATGTTGTCAGCATTTTGCTGCCGAAGGATGGAATTCGAATCAAGCATTCAGAGTCCTAAAAACTGATTAGACAGGATCTGAAAATGCATCTTCTATAGAGGATTACTCCTTCCGGTCTCTCTTCGATGAAACTTTATCAAAAAGCAACCCTTACAGCGAATCCATCTCCATTAAATTTGCCATGAATAATACATGATAACTTTCACGAAGATTTAGAGTCTTCAGCTGCATGTGGACGTTAACGCCAACGAAATACCCTCATAAATTACTGAACTTATGTTGTCAAGCGTTGTGAGAGTTGGGCGCTTTCAAAGATTTTCTCAGATATAAACAGACAGGTAGTTAGCAGAAAAACTGGTCCCCTGACACAGCTGTCTTTTCTTCATTTGACACCATTAAATCAATCAAATTGTAAAACGTAATTCTTTGATTTGAGGACAAAATAGATTTCGTCTTTGTGAGAGTTGATAACACCTCGTTATTGTTATATTGACCCTCCCGTCTCGCTGACGTTATGTTTGATGTTTGTTGAAACCCAGCCTCTCTCGGGCTTCACCAGGTACAAACGTAGACGGCCGATGTTTCTTATGATACGGAAGAAACTGGCGCCGTCACAAATCCTCCAAGATCCGCATTACTTTAACATCGGTCATACTTCAGAACCAGCACTATATCTCCTAAGACCTGTGGGAAGATAAACGGATGCTCCGCGGCGAGAGCAAAGCACTTCCGCTCCAACACACCTGGCACATTTTTACCAACATTCAAAACTCCCGGATGTTCATTAGCATAAACGCTTTCTCTAGAGAGAGTAGTTTTTGCCAACGCCTCTGGGGCGGAGTCGTTGGTTAAGTACTGCGATGTAGTTGAAACTATTCTTAAAATCATTTAACATGGCTGAGGAGTGTAAGAAATGGTGATTTTGGGGTGAAAATTGATTTTGGCTCCGAACCTTACTTCCAGGTATAGCGCGCCAAGTTTGGCCTAGATTTCGCTCTTCGCCTTCCTGGGAGTGAATTTGCAACCCCTCGCGCAGTGGACGATTTACAAAATTACAGTACTAGGATTTTCTTTATTATAATTTACTCGGGTATAGTCAAGATTTTTGCCAGCATAAATCATTTCTGCCGGAAATTTTTGCTATTTCATCCTACGCAAAAATCCCCAATTTTGTCCATTGATTTTGGAGTGAAAATAATGTTTTTCTATTGATTTTACAAAAATTGAATAGGTTGAAGAAACCGGATTCAGCTGGTCTTGTAGCAGAAGAGACATCCTTGCGTCCCATATACAGTTATTCTCCTTCCGAATTATTCCACGGCAGGGACGGTCGTAAGACTTGAGGTGGTGCAGCTTCGAATAGAAACGCCAAATAAACTGGGGTGTGCCAACAATATAACTCAAGAATGGCTGGATGGATTGGTTTCATAATCGATGTATTGGTAGGGTTGACAAAAACTGGAAATGATGGGATTTTTGGTCCCCTAGTGGCTTCCCTTCGTACTGCAGCGGAACTTCCGATTTTGGTTGTTCGGGATCTGGACATGCTAGGGACATGAATTTTGGAGGGTAGGTAGCTCATGTGCTTGGGAAGGAGTCATGTGAGTTAAGGCTCCCTAGCAGCTTGTTCTGGAACTGCAAAACGGTTTGATAAAAAATCTTCAAGAGAGAATAACTAAAAAAACAGTTGACGGATCGTCGTGATTTTTGGTTTGTAGGTAGCTTAAATGATGCTTGACATGATTAAATTGTAATCATGCAAATAAGAATCTAATTTGCATAATTAATGAAATTACACAAATTTGCTGTGTTCGATATTAGGGCTATGAAACACTTGTGACATGTAATTGAGATCATTGACAGATATTGATTATGTAAGTGAAGACCTAACTTGCATAATCAATGGAAATTGGTACAATTTTATAGTGGTAACTGCCATGAATTTAATACTTGCCATATTTAGAAGTTCAGTGAAGGTGAACATCACTAAACATAATTTATTCAAACCAAAACCTAATTTGCATGATTTATAAGGAAATGCTAAAATAGCTTTATTTCTTTCAAGACATGACTCACTGGGGGGAGAATATGAACTGTTGTAATTCATGCAAATGATGCTTTTGTAATTTGTATAATTACCGTATGTACAATGTAGAATTAGTCAGTTTGAACGATTAGTCCCGTTTGGCGAAGGCAAGAAAGAGGTCGTGGAAGTCTTGTTCTTACTTAGCCCAAAGGCGTCTCCTCTTCCTTAGCCAAAAAGCTTTCTGCCAGTGAAAAATCATAGCATGCATATGTTCAGAACAGAAGATACAAAAACGGAAGTGCTGCTGCCACCCTATCTAAACCCCAAATATCATAGAATTCCACTCATACGGTATATTATTGTATAGCTATAAAACCATTCATTAATGTTATTGAAATTTTAGACTAGAAACGGTTTACCTTTCCGAAAACCCCTCGAAACCCATTGCCATCAAAAACGCTTTCTCTTTAAACAAAGGGGTGGAGGGTGGAAGAGTTTCGGGCCACCCGTGGTGTGGGATTTCGCGGGTCAAAATTATCCAAAATGGCGGGAGAAGAGCTGCATATTTCGTCTTGCGACACGAGTTCATGTTTTACTTGTTGCTACGCGCATTTTCCTGCATTGAGACGTCGAGTAGTCGCCCAACAAAGGAGACTGAAGGGTCATGTATAGGGACGGGCAAGTTCCCGACATGAACCGGCTTTCTTGATCGCCATGCCGGTACTAGCGCAGGCATGATAGTGCCCCAGACCCTTCACTGACGTTTTGCCGATTCCTTTTTCAGGTAGGGATAGACATGACATGGCTAGAAAATGATGGCTACGTAGTATGAAGTAAAAGAAAATAGCATAACAGAAGATACACGCACAGGCTTCTTATCATTAGCATATGGCAAAACCGTTTCGCGAAACTCTTTCTCTTTAGACCTAGCAGGTAGGGTTTCAGCCCCCCCCCCCCCCGCTGAAGGGTTTCAAAACCATGGTGGAGGTGGGTTCGGAAACCCTAAAAACCTATAAAATACCGTTTCCCCCTTTAGACTGGAAACGGTTTGCTCATTGGAAACGTTTTCCACCCCGAAACCCTTTAAGCGTTTCACTTTGATCTTCATTTTTGTTTCGTTAATAGTTGAAAACAAAACGCATGCATGTTTTGATTCCTAACAACAGTTTTTGAACGACAGTCTTCTGATTTTTTCTTGATGTTAACTTTTAATCCACACCATGCTGAGATACAGTATCATAGAATCTGGGAGAACTTATTTTGAATTGAAGAGTTAGAATCGTTATACAATCTATCAATCTATAAATGCGGTTGTGACAAGTAAAAAAAAATCTTTCTCGTTCATGTAATTCCTAGACCTTCATTTTTAATGTTGCTACTCAGTCACTCAGGGTACAATCCCGGATTTTACTTTGACTGTGAATAAAGACAGGAAATTATTCAACCATATCCTCTTTATTCTTCCAGATTCTTATGACAACCACTAGGCAACATATTCAAACATATTATATACCTACTATTGGCTATCTGATGAGCGAAGACCTCACGTTAATGATGCAAGACGGTAGAAGACTGATAGATCTTTTTTTCTTCAACATCATATCACAGATACTGGATACCAGTTGCATCGATGTCGTGAAGTCACTACAACCAAGCAAGACTATAGGTGTACGATCGCAAAAAGCACTAGCTGGACGTACGATTACAAAGAAGACTTACGCGTAACCAGACGCTGTGAGACGGAATTGCGACTTACTGAAGTCGATACGTCTGTGCACAACACGATATTGCACAGTCTGTACATGCACACACATTGTTTGTGTCTTTTGAAAATAACTGCATTTCTGACTCAGAGCTGGCAGAAGTTATTGCCTCGTCCACATTGCAACCTTGACGAAACATGTACTAACTTTCACGGCAATACCCTCAGAAAAACACGTAACTTCTAATTACAAGAAACATACGTTACAAAATAGAAAAACAAACCAAACACGTCAATAATACATGTACTCCTTAGAAACATGTACATAAAGTTGAGATATCGTTATCAATGATACTTTCGTCCCTGAAGAGGGAATTTCTTGCATCTTAAAAAAGGCGTCTCTGATCGGTTATTTGGGAACGCTTCCTGGAGACTGTTTTTTTTAAATCCAAGACCACTCAAAAAGCGTTAACAAGCGAAACGTTACATCGTGATGAAGTCAAACGAAAAATCTGTCGTAGACATGCAACCTGAACACAATAGACGTACATGTACGTTCTGGTCTATGGAAGACGTTGTTGATCCTATCTTCATGTATCAAATAAGTGCCAGTAAGATATTGCTTATTTAAGTTGTAAGTCGTACTTGAATTCTAAAATACATACTTGTCTGACGTTGTTTATGTCAGTTTAGTTGTGCTTACCACAGAACTCAAGCTAAGTCATCAGGACTCCATAGGCGTCTCATTCTGAGGTTTTCCACCACCGATTCTTATTATAGGCCCAAATTTCGTTTGTGTGTGGAATCTGCATGGGAACTGGATCTGCCAACATCGACAGTATTGTACAATTAAAATATTAACTATACATCTTTGAACCACAGACAAATCCCAGAAATAACCCATCATTTACACATTTTGTCAAATGCTTGAACAAAAATGAGATTGATTCATAGAATTTGATTTTCCAAATATTGTGAAAAGATGTACCTATTACCACAGCCGCCCACGAATACCATATTATAGCCACATAGTTTTGCTGGCGTTGCCACACGTATCCAATGTTTGGTAATCTCAAAGTTTACTGTAACTTCCGGCCAGGAGTAGGCCCATTAGCCACCTATTCTTTGCAGGCAGTCACGATTTGCCACGGGAGGTCTGTTCGAAGATTACCTTTTGGCACCTACAGTATGATGGGTTTGACAAATGTTCAAACCAGTAGGTCTTGAATATAGTATCAAACTGGGCAAGCAGTTGTTCCTGAATACAATGTTCGAGGGTCTGATGTTTACACCCAAATTATCACTTTCCCAGAAGAGCATACTGCACGGACAAATACAATAGACGCGAGCACTTTGACCTCCAATGCCAACGTCCTGACACATCGTAAGCGCCTCCCTCAATGACTTCACATATATTGCGTTTTTGTTGACCAATGATGTCCATTGTCTATCTCCATCTACAGCCGGGATCTGTATGACCCAAGATGTAAGGGTTCTAATGACATCGTTTATTCTGGCTCAACACTTTGTCAAGCTTTGTCCAAAGGCAGGCTTGAAGGTGTTGAGATCGCCACAGGTGGTCCAACACGTCTCTATCCTTTCATCGTCGTTTATCCATTATCGTTTGCCACATTGAAGGGCCTCTTCTGACGCCGATTCCGTATTAGCGGAAACACGGATCCCTTGCGTACTCCGTATCCCTAGTTCCCGGCATGTCAGTCAGTCGTCCGCTCTTCTCTTTATTCCGTACAATTCTCCGGAGGCACGAGTTCCAGGAAGGCACCATCGTTGGGGCATGCTTAGAATGCTTCGAGCTGTGTTTGAGTTTCTGCTGGTAGGATGACACTCTTGCATCATGAATGAAAACAAAACGATTTGAACAATAAAGCTTTACATTATCAAATTGGGTGACAAAACTGGTAAATGTGCCAAATAAAAGCAACTTACCTGAAGTATATACATTTTATCAAGCTCTTCAGGACGTAACTGTCCGTTTGTCAGAAATCAAATTTGTCTCGCTTGATGCAGCTGTAAAAAAAAGAACGACACTTATTCCAACTTTTCCTATTCCGGAGATAGAAAAAACAATGAAATTCGTTATGCAACAAGGTGATGAGGTAGATATGGCATTGCGACATACCATAGTGGTATGCATATACTGTAAGGCGATTGACTTACAAAGTTTCTTCTGACTGGAAGATTTTGATAACGTCAGCATCTCCACACAGGCTGCCGGGAACGCGCCGAGCTTGCCTCTGTGGTACCCGTACCACCAGCCCGAGTTGTCTGTTCTTAGAACCTCCACGATGTCGTTTATCTGGAGGGTCAGGAAACCGCACTGGTCCGAGTCGTATGGCGTGGAAACTTTTGCGAATCTTCTCTCCGCTGAAACAGGTGTACATATCTATGAAATGATGAAGAAATTATAGACTGAAACAAGAAGGAGCAAGACTTCGCCTGTACTTAAAAATGTTCACAAGAAAATGTTCACACAAAATGTCCCATTGCACCCACAACCTACTAGACTCCAAACATGAAACCCTCAATCTAAACCCCTTAAGTAACCTATTCACAATAAAAATACAAGAACATCATTGCTTTTCTACAACTTGAACTACTGACAAACTAATCAACAATCACCAAAAGCCCATTACAGCAACGTATGGACCTCCCACGACGCCCATTTTCAAACTTGACCTTGCTATCGTCAACGGTAACTTGCTCACAAAAATCGTGAAAATCCATTTGCAGATTCTCGAATTATCCTGTTAACAACAAAAACGACCAACACAAAAGGTCTAATTCATTTCCGACCTTGACCTTGGTGTTCTCAACGGTAGCTTGCCAACTAAAAATCATGAACATCCATTTAAGGATTCTCGAGTTATCTTGTTAACAAGAAAAACACAAACACAAAATGTCAACTGCAGTGATGAACCCCCCCCCCACGAAGCCCATTTTTGGCCTTGACAATGGCCACCCCAAAGACAACCTGCCTGCCAAAAATCGTGAGCCTCGGATAATTCCATCAAGAGCTATCGAGCATAATCTGCCAAACAGTGCCGAAAAGGTTTCATAGTCTTCTCGTCGAAGGCAACTAGGTTGTGGTTAGAGCTTGGATCTATGTTCTTAGAGACTGATATGGACTTCATCAGGTTGGTAAAACACGAGGGGTGTGAACACACTTGAAACCTCATCTTGTCTACTATTGCAGCGTCACCTTGCGACAAAGAGTAGCAAAGGTCATTACACCATAAGGAAGGCAGCTGACTTTCTGATCCAAACTGCCTCCTTGATCCAGCGGGTTCTTCTATTGTCTTCTCTTTCTTTAGCTTTCGCCCCCTCCCAGTCAATTATGCAGTTGTTTCTAGCAATGTGATCTGTCACTGCTGATTTCTTTTCTTCTTTTTGTGCATGTCTTTTCTGTGATCTTGTGTACTTCACAGTGTCCATGTTGTCAGCTTCCTTCTTGTGTTCTTCTAATCTAGTCCCAAAGGTGCGTCCCGTTTCCCCTATTATGTAAACTTCACTGCAGCTCTTGCACGGGATCTTGTATATGCAGTCCGTTTTTGCCGTGTCCTGTAGTTTATCTTTTGGGTGGACCAACAGACTCTTCAGTGTGGTTTTTGGCTTTACTGCGGTGGAGATATTGCGTTTTCTGAACACTCTTTCAATGGGATCGGTGATTCCTTTGACATAGGGGATGATGACCCCGCTGGATCAAGGAGGCAGTTTGGATCAGAAAATCAGCCCCTGTAATGAACCGGGACGAGGGGGGATACAAGCTAAGCCACGTTCGGGATAGTGTTCTCGCCCTAAAAGCGCCACCTACATCGGCTACATATAGCGGCGAGATGCAGTACTCCAGTCAGAAGCTCTGAAGAAGGTGTCTGGCAGACACCGAAACGTCAGCAAGGTGAGATTACTGGTTGTGTAAAAAAAAAAAAGAAATCCCCTATCTCTTAAGTCCTACCAACCTGATGAAATTATTTTCGGAAGCTGATGGAACTGCAGATATAAACCGGTAGGTGTCATACTTTGTACCTTGTACAATTGTTGTGCAATTAAGTTATTATGTCTTGAAGAACCAGTCACCCGGACTTAGTTTAGTGCCTAGAATAGAAGTAGTCTCTTGGTCTTATTATGAGAAAACCCGTTAAAATGACTGTCTGCACCTGCCGGTGTTCCTTTATCACTGGATGTTCTGTGTGGTCTCATATCAGGTTTGTCGCCGTTGACTCGGCCGTTATGTGTCGCCGTCGCCATGTTGTTCATCTGGACATCGGAGTGTCTCCGACTCGAGGTCTTCCCCCGTCTGCACAGGAGGAAGGCCAGCAGGAGGAGGACGACCAGCAGGCAGATAGCGGCGGCCACGCTGCCGGCAATCACCAGGATGGTGTACAGCTTACTGCCGGACATTAGACCCAGGCCTACTAACGGTAAACACAGACACTAATTAATGTCTGCAAATACCATTCTCTCTTATACCATACAGTAAAACTAATATCGGTAGATCAGGGCGGCCTGCAGTTTATCTATTACAAGATATTGACAAAGAAACTGAAAAACTCGAGTCGTTTCCTTCAAACTTCATACTCTCCAAGCAGAGGTTTGGGCTTTGGCTTATTTTTGGCGTATTTATAGTATTTTGTATCAGGCTTTCTTTTATATATTGGTATCTTCATACAAAAGTACATAATTACATAGTAAGTTATCATAAAAATCACTAAGGCATCGGACGCTTTTTCACGCGCTCGAACTCGCGGCGATCTATCACTAGTTGTAATGGAGTGGTCATGAATGTTGAAAACATTTGTGTAGAGAATATACTTGAAGAAGAAATGCATCCACACTGTTCATGAGCCCTTCACCCTCCGCGTTACAAACGGGAAACACTGTGAGACGGTGTGTCCTAACTTCGCAGGTTTTTGTACTTTTGTTGTATTCAGAACTCAGTGATGACTTTAAGTGAACAAAAATAAGAGCTGAGTTCTCTGATATTTCAGCTTTATTTTGATGCTAAAATTGTGATTTTGTGTACTTCTCCTCGTCTTACCTGAGGAGGGTTGTATCTAACGCAATCAGTCAGTGTTTCTACTGAAAACCCGGCTTACGCAATCAACGCGGTCTCATGGGAAATGCAGACGACAGTGGTGTTGACGTTGTTTTTCTCGAGTTGGTTGTCTACATAACAAATACTCAGAGACCAAAATTTCTACTGTTTTGTAAAGCTTTATGTTCTTATGTATTTATGTATGTATGTATGTATGTATGTATGTATGTATGTATGTATGTATGTAGCAGTTGTGTGACTGCTTGGCAAATGTCTTTTTCTGGGCACGATCCGCCGCTACCAAGTGACCCTCTTCTCAGCGCCATCATTATTATTGGCGAAATTCTGTTTTTCGACAAAACGATAAACAACTATATAGAACTATACATTGCATGCAAATAACACCTGTATGCATTGACTATGACTATTTGCCTTTTTAATTAGAAAAGTCAGTGGCAACAAACACGGCTTACTTTTGCATAAACACCTCAGTACAAATCAGTAAAAAAATCCGTCCGAACTTAGCACACGTCCGATCTTATGGCTTTTCTTGCGGAAGAATATTAATAAAATCGTGTTAGAAAGATGCCTTTGGTGGTTCTCCTGTGTAACAATGATTATCACAAACAGCTACGGTGACTTCATCTGAAACTCAGAACGAACACCTCAGTTTCCCCATGCCAAAAATGCAAATTGATTTAATTTTGGGCAATTTACCGTCCGTTTTTGATTCCAGCTTGGTGACTGCATTCACGACTGACAGGGACACCAGGACCGACTCGTGGTGCGGTTTGCCGACGCCGTTAGCCGCCACACAGGTGTACTCTCCACTGCCGTTAGCCTGGGACCGCGCCATCTTTAGAGTCCGGCTGCCGGTGTAAACGGTCTGCACGATAGATCTGACAAAGCAGTATGACAGTGTTTGTAGCAATGTGTTTCATTGCTAACCATATCCACAAAGGGGCATCATGTAACATTTTTGCACAAAAAATTTAAAAAAATTTACTAAAAATCTTTGTGTGACTGTAATTTACTTACCTGTTTTCAAATATTTGTGCAATAATCTCACATATCTGACATTCATCAATGACGCTAAAGCAGCCCAAACTAGGCACACTCAGTTTGCGGTACCCTCACAAAATACCAGAATGTAAACAAGCATGGCTGATTACATGACAGGTGTGTTTCTAGCTTTTTCACACACTCGTAAGGCAACTCCACTTCAGGAATAGCACTTACATGCAATAGAATAGGGTTGATTATATTTGATTTACCTACATTGTCAAGAAATGACCAGACCCTTTCATTCTAATGCTAACACCCAAGCCATCAATCAGTTAAAGGTAAAAATTATAATCACAGGGTGTTCAACTGTTTGTACTTTGAGATGACTTGCTACCCACCATATGCAATGGGAATACTCTATCCAATATGTAGTTAAAGAGTTTGACTTGTTCCAACACAAGAAGGAGAACTCACCATAAATTTTCGGCTGATCCCGTCAACCTTCGTCAGATTTGTGATGCAGTCGCTGACTTTCCGGAAGTCGGAAACGTGATGACGTCAGGAGTGCATCAAAAGTGGCGGGAAGACGGTATCTCCCACCATCACGGTGGCGGGAAGACGGTATCTCCCACCATCACGGTGGGAGATACCGTCTTCCCGCCACTTTTGTTGCACTCCTGACGTCATCACGTTTCCGACTTCCGGAAAGTCAGCGACTGCATCACAAATCTGACGAAGGTTGACGGGATCAGCCGAAAATTTATGGTGAGTTCTCCTTCTTGTGTTGGACCAAGTCAAACTCATTAACTATGGATTCTACCAACACAGATGAGCTTTCATTCGTCTATCCAATATGCTTTTGCTGAGGAAAATAAAGACCGATTACGATGATCAATGAAGGAATTCAGTAAAACGACCCTAACCTTAATGGGTCTGGATCTCCTGTTCTTAGCCAGCTGAGACTAGGGACTGGGTTTCCTTCCGCAAGACATCGTAGGATGACGTCTTCACCTTGAAGAACGACGTTGGCCTCAGAGATGTTGATTATTTTTGCCGGATCTAGAAAGAAAACATGTCGTTTCAGATTTACCACTTGATCAACCTAATCGTCATTTAAAGGCATTCGTTATATGCATTAAAGCCGTACAGGACCACATGTGATTGATACCGCGACATTCCTGTTTCCAAAACGATAAGAAAAAGAAGGATAAGACTCAGGGTGAACAAAGCCAAGATGCTTTAAAAATCAACAAGGAAACCGGAACCATGAGCTCTTATTTCTTTGTCAGAAGACTCAGAACTTTGAGTTAGCCGTGGCTGACAATAAATTTTTGTAGGGATACCCTACCTTTCGTTCAGCCCAGTTATCATCATCTTACATGAAAGTCTACCAGACAATAGAGGTGAACTGGAGCTACATGAGGGGTCGTTTGGCGTAGCTGCAGAGTGCTCGACTCGGAACTAAGAGGTCCCGGGTTCGAGTCCTGACATGCCACCCATCTTGTGTCCTTGGGATAGGCACTTTACACGACTTTCCTCACTTCGCTCAGGTGAAAATGGGTATTGTATTGTCCAGGTGGCGACATCAATATAAGTTGAAAAAAACTTGAGTGTGCCGTCACCACGTCTTGTGACTATATGTTGGAATGTAAAAAAAAGCTGGAGCTACGTACATGTGACTTCCAGGAACACGCTGTCTGTCTCCTCCCCGCCGATGTGTTTGGCCACACACGAGTAGTTCCCAGACTGGGCCCTGCTGACTGACGCCAGGAACAGGGTAGACATGTACGACTGGTTACTCTCCTGTGGAGGATAAAATGGAATTTCCAATTATATATATATATATATCTTCAACACTATAAATAATGAGGTACAGTAGAACCTGTCTATAGTGACCAATGAGGCTGATCAGAAGTGAAAACTCAGGTCATATAAAAGCAGATACCTGTTCAGACACTACGTGGAAGGTGTCAACAATGGCGTCATCCTTCCTCCAGAAGAGCGGCTGTATCAACGCTCCTGGTTGGTCAACTGTGCAGTTTAAGGTCAATGACGTAGCCTCAACAATCTGCAGAGGGCTTGGGACGCCTACTTGAACCTGAGGTGGAGCTGTGCAGATGTATAAACACATGTACTAATCTTCATCTGTCGATAAGTGATGGACATCAATTCATCTGACATGAGTATGAGGCACTAGTGTATACCATGTTCGTATCTATAATATATCAAAGATCTATATGAAGGCACAGCCTTCAATTTTAAATGTTGAAAGTTTTCACTGCTTACTAAAGAAGATTACCATGCATCTCCAGGAGAACATAGTGCTCCTCCTGTCCAATAACATCCAGCAGGCTCGTCAGGACGTACAGACCCTCGTCTTTGGTACCTGCATTCACGATGGTCAGGGAGCGGTCCTTGGTCAGGAAAGCTCTGTTCTGCAAAGGGACGGTAAAATGTTGATGTCCATATGGAATATCCCTGGTGTGTGCGTGTGTGTGTGTGTGTGTGTGTGTATGTGTGTGTGTGTGTGTGTGTAGTGTAGTGTAGTAGTGTGTGTGTGTGTGTGTGTGTGTGTGTGTGTGTGTGTGTGTGTGTGTGTGTGTGTGTGTGTGTGTGTGTGTGAGTGTGTGTGCGTGTGTGTGCGTGTGCGTGTGTGTGTGTAACTCAAAAGATGCAGCGTCATAATCAGACTGAAATATACTGCCAAGTTATATCCACAACAAGTCGTTTTCCCAGATAAACTTCAAGGCCCATATATATATGTATATGGATATCACGAGTAGGTCGCGGGAAAAATTACCCATATCCTATTCGTGTCTCCAGCGGGACTCATCTAGGATACGTTTGGGATGAAACAGATTTCACAAATGCCAGATACAAGTGGATCACATTTGACTCAAGTACCTCGAGCGGCCCGAAGGACATGGTTGAGTTGGTTGCCGGAGAGAACATGTAGACAGCTCTCCTGGTGCCGTACATCCCGCCGGACAACTTGTTCCACGTCAGCGCGAAGAGACGGTAGTCCTTACGGAAGGAGGCCGGTAGGGTGACCGAGTCGCCCTCCATACCCCGCACGGTGATGATAGTAGGCGTGCTGGGCTTGACTGTTGCAGCTGAACAGGATGTTTTACATTTTAATGACAATGATCTTTATTGCATATATGTGCCTTAATGCAGTGGCTTAATACAATGGGCTTAATACTTCAAGTTCTATATAAAAGAACCAAGAAAAGCATTATCTATAGGCATTGATTTACATAGGGTGGGTATTCACAATGATCTATTATACAGATAAACCTATCCTTTACAGCCTTTACAGCTACAGAGGATCGGAGATAGAATCACGGGTGTTGGAAAACTAACGTAACGTTTATCTTGTAATGTGATTATGCTGCAAACCATATCGCACAGCCTACAAGTAAGCGCATTTAGATCTGTTTTGCTAACTTTGTAATAAATCTGGATTTTAAATGTTTGAGATATTAACCTCCATTTTGTGATAATACAGAATGTTACATGCATTTATTGAGTTTCCTTCGAAGGTAATGAGCACATTTGTATCAAACAATTTATTGAATTTCAAGTTGAACAAAGAATTGTGAAAAAAGGTCAAAAATCTTTATTAAAGTATATGTCATTAATCGTCTTTGGAAATGTCTTGGTATAATATCCAATAACTTTAGCCATAAATATGTATTTGAACTCGGACATAAATGCAATTCTTCTTCTCTAAAGCCAGTCACTGTGCCGCAGGTGTACTTTACAAGCGCGCGCCTGTACCGGTATTTCAACTTAATTGGTCCCACTGTGACACAGCGGCAATATGTGTAATGGCTTGTGTTATTTATATTCAATAAAACATGACGAAGAAAACAATTGCAATCTAGTTACTGGTAAATCTTCCCATAGATAAATACGCGTGCGAAGGGGCAAGCTACCAAAACATGCCAGTAAAGCTAATGGCTTACTTTGACATGATTGGCTATAACCGTTCAATGTAGATGACCTTGTAGCGAACATGTAAAAACAAGCTTACCTTCAGCACAAATGAAGGTGATTGCGGCCACGAGAATGGCTGTTACTTTGTCCATCGTATCACTGTGGAGGTTGGATGTCAGGTAAGTTGGTGTCTTCCTGTAAAACATAACAGTGATGATTCTGGTTGCCGAGATCGTAGGAAAGGGTAATTATTATAATGCTATTGGTTACAAAGCTCACCGAGTTTTCCGTAGCAAACCTCACATGTATCATAAGGCCTTAGGGGAACTTTTTGTGAAATGATCCATTCCGGATCATACATTGCGAGTGTCATCGCTATGTGATTTGAAAGGGAAAATATCTTCGCCTTAAGCATCTTCAAATTTAGAGCCGCTAGAAACAGCACGTAGTTATTAAGCCCGCTTCCTGTTATCTGAAGGAATAATGGGAGGGGATTTGAGAGCGTGCAAAATTGTCTCATCCATCATCCAGACGGGAGAACAGTCATCGCCGCGATGATCTTCATGAAAAGCTACGGCAGCAGCCTGGGTGATACATCAACCGGCACGGTACAGGCAGGAGGTGTGTGTGTGTGATTGTGTGTGTGTTTGTGTGATTGTGTGTGTGTGTGTGTGTGTGTGTGTGTGTGTGTGTGTGTATGTTTGTGTGTGTGTGTGTGTGTTTGTGTGTGTTTGTGTGTGATTGTGTGTTTGTGTGTGTTTGTGTGTGTATGTGTGTGTGTATGCGTGTGTGTGTGTATGTGTTTGTCTGTGTGTGATAATGTGTGTGTGTGTGTGTGTGTGTGATTGTGTGTTTCTGTGTGTATTTGTGTGTGTGTGTGATTGTGTGCGTATGTGTGTGAGGTACAATGAACCTGTATCTAACGGCCGTTGTTATAGTTATGTCTGTCTTGTCACGGTCAATGGAACATTAGCTTTTCAGTCTGGTACTGGATTACGTCACCTACCGGAAATAACGTTACATATTCAGCCGGCATTTCCGCACTTTTCAGACGATTTTGACGCACGCTGTGGCCAGAGTATGGTTCAACGTACGACCCCGTATGTACTTATACACAGAAAGATTAGCTTAGCCACACGATTCACTACCGGCGGCAATGTGGGATGCTGTTACCTACTCACCCGGCAGCTGTAGAAGTCCTTTAAGGCATGATAAGGTTTTATTAGACAATGCCTCTGATGAGACGATTGTCTACCACAATTTAATCAATTTTTGGGATGGTCTTTATCTTAATATATGTTAGAATAAAATATGTAAAAGACATGTTTTCAACGAAAGCTTCCTAACGCTGGTCCTCATTAAATAGATACGTGTTTTGGTTTATATCGGTATGGTCAAGTAACATAGTTAATATGTGTGTGTGTGTAGTAAAGCTACGTGTTTTGTTGTGAAAGTCAGAAGTAATAGTATACATATGTCATATAGGCTATACGTCATCTGCTAAGCTTGAAACACTACAGCGATACTCAACCAACTGATATGCTGAACTTCGTTTCTTTATTCACCACCAGAACTCGAACATTACTCCTACTCCACAGACTACACGGAAAGTACATTATGGGCTTGCTCTGACGCTCGATACTTTTGATCTCTTACAGCTACCCAGGCAAATGTTCATCACGGACTAATGAAAGAGCTTATTTGCTTATTCGTGGCAACTTTTTCTGGCGCCATAACATTTGAAATCCATTATATTTCAGACCGAAGTTGTCTGGATCAGAATATGGAGAAATTTACCGTGTTATCAGTTGCTCACACATGCAGATCTGTTAGCCAATGTTCCTGTGAAATAAAGATATGTATTTTAAATGAAGAATAACAAAAGGCATTGCATGAAATGCAATATCTAAGCAAGCGTTAAAGCACACGTAAAGGTTCATTTTCTACAGCCGACTGAAACCTGAGAAAAACAACCTTTACGCATGCTTTAAATGCCTAGATATCGGATTGCATGCAGTGATGAGGAAGAGATAGTCTTTTGAACTCTCGATTTTGAAACAATATGTACTTCCGAAGGTTCTGACCAAAGTTTAGCACCGTCTTGTAAAGATTATTTACGATTTCTTAAGCAATGAGGGAGGTACAATCAAGTCGGCACTGAAACTCACATAATGTAACGCAATTGAATAGCACTAACGTTAAGGTGCGTGGTAATTTATATTCATGTTCCGTAGCATTGAACACCAAAATCTGCCGATAAAGTGTTTTACTGCAATTTATTATGACATTTAGTTTATTGATTTGCATTTTTTACATAAATTACGGAAAAGGAATTGATTTTGACAATAACATAGTGTAATATCGATACCATCATGATCAGTGTTGGAATTTACATCGATTTTTGGAATTCTGGTCGTCGGTAAATTTAAAATTTCCTGTTGCATTATGTAGGGGAGGGGGGTGATATTCGTTAGACGTTGTCGTAATTGGTACCATTGGGAAAAGTTCCCCCGAGTGAAGTCGATAATAGACTGGTAAAAGGGTTGCTAAAACCACTCATCTCCAGACCGAGGTGCCTTAAAATCTTCGACCATTATGTCTAATGCAACAAGCCGGGCGTCAAAATAGTGCTTTTAAATGGATATTGCCTGTTAGACTCGACAGTGATGGGGTCGAAAATGTTTACTCTCAAACAGATATTTAGTGACACTCGTCACACTGACGTTCTAAAGACAGAGCGGTAGTGTCGATGTTTAATCAGCTGCGAATGATTTGAAGATTTTCCACAAAATAGTTTGAAGAAGTGCGAACATACACAGAAACAACGGCACGTTTAAGTAATGAAATTTTACCAGTTTCCTGACCTTCGGGTGTCCCTGTGAGCGTAAAAGCCTCATACACAAGAAGTAAAACAAACTAATTACATTGCAAAGCAAATACCGAAGAACGTATGTCAAACAGTTCAAGCTGAATACAAAGTCTGTTTATGATCGCCATTGTGGTGGTAAGTCACCTTTGTCCTGTAGAAAGTTTGTTACTGATTTGATAGAAAAAGTTTCACCTTGAAACACGCAAACGATTTTCTTGCTCCTGATACATCTTAATTCCTCTTGCGTGTCGATATCTTCGGGAAAGAACCCTGACGGTCAGCGCAATTTGTACTTGCTGCCACCGATCGTGATAACCAGACTCAGCACGTACCCTGTGCATACAAAACAGTATTGCCCCAGGAGATGACTCAACATGAAGCAACCCTTGCCACAACGTCCACAGGTTTTAACGTTGAATCAACGACGGTGAAAGTATATGTATATGGAACAGATAGACAGACACAACACAAATCAAGATAAAAAAGGCCTCTGTCAAGCATAAACGAATATGGCCTCCCTAACACTACCGAACACAACCCAACCATGGTTGGGAGTAGTTCGGGATCAAGGTCGGTTGTGCTTGGCTGAGATTGGCTACTATACTATTCGGTTGTTACCTTCGCCAAGAAGGTTATGTTTTCAGTAGCGTTTGTCTGTGTGTGTGTGTGTGTGTGTGTGTGTGTATGTGTGTATGTGTGTGTGTGTGTGGTTTAGCAAGATAACTCGAGAAGCAGTGAATGGATTGGAATGAAACTTGGTAGGTAGGTAGGTCTTCATGAGACCTAGAAATGATTAGATTTTGGGTCCCCTGGCGGCTTTCCTAGGTACTGCAGCAGAACTTCCGGTTTTGATATCTCGTGATCTGGACATGCTAGGGTCACGAATTTTGGTCGGTAGATAGCTCTTGGGGTAGGGAAGAAGTGACATGAGTCTGGGTCCCCTAGCGGCTTGTTCTGGAACTGCAGGAGCATTTGTTGAAAAAATTTCGAAGGATGATAACTCAAGAACCGGTTGACGGATTGTCATGATCTTTAGTATGTAGGTAGTTGAAGTGATGCTTGACATAATCAGATGACAATTATGCAAATCAGGAGCTAATTCTATAAATCTGCTTTGTTCGATAATAGACCTATGAAACACTTGTGACATCTACTTGAGAACGAGATAAAACATCTGAGGATATAGATTATGTAAATGAGGGCCTAATTTGCATAATTAATGGCATAATTAATTAATTTCATAGTTGTAACTTGGGAATCTTATACTTGCCACATTTGAAAGTTAAGTGAAGCTGAACATCAATAAACATAATTTATTCAAATTATGATCTCATTTGCATAATTTATGAAGAAGTGCTATAATAGCCTTTTTGTTAAAATAAGGCTGTCATTGGGTGGAGATTGAATATGATCAACTGATATAATCCATGCAAATGAGGCTATTATTTACAAAATCGATGATTAAATTGTATAATTCGTCAACCGCAAGGGTTAACATCACTTGGCGAAGGTATGAGATCGCGGAACTCTTGTTTTACAATGTTTTTAAAAAACATTCTGGAGTCGATGGGATGTTGGAACATGGTTGGGGACTGGTTGATAGGTGGTTGGGAATAGGTCAGCAGTTGATTATCGATTGCTTTCGGCTTAATGATCTCAAGAACCGCTTGATGGATTGAGATTATCTTTGGTATGTGGGTAGTTGCTCTGTGGCTCTGTGTTTTAGCGTGCATTAGCAGGTTGTTGTAGAAGTGTGTACATTTTCACCCCCTTTTTTGTAATATGTTGGTTTAGTTCTTTGCAGGCCATCCATCCTAAAGTTTCTATGTATATCCTCTGACTTGTGGTCAATGTGTCTGGGTAATATATCTTCTTTGTTTGGTCTGGTCATTGACATGAAAGTGGCCTAGGACCTGTGGTAAATTTGTGAGAGATACGTAGTACCCATCAAAGAATACAAACCATGGTAATAACACACCAAACGCCTGTTCATGGCAGCCTGTGCATGGCAAATGCTCACTGTGCCATGTAGGAACTGCCATTGTTCTTTGGATGAACACCTAGTAGATGTTTTCCCATTGGAGGTATGCATGTTGTTTTGTTTCCTTGAGATATTTGGATTATATGAAAATCATACATGTAATTTCAGTCTTGTGTGCATAATCAGCTTGTGAAATATAGGTACTAGTAAACCGTTCCAATGCATTGTTCTGAAACACTTAAGAGCCCTATTAGAATTTGCATTTACTGTGTTTTTGAGAGGATTTTAACGGAAAAATTAGAAACATTCATATAACTGTTAAGCATTCTATTGCAAGAAAAAAGC